AAATAGATAAAACAAGAGCACTTAGAAATGCAAGGAGACCTGCTAAAAATACAGTTATAGTGGGAAATTTTAATATACCTTTTTCAGAACCAAATAAGCATCAAATAGAAAAAAATCAGAAAGTACATAGAAGAATGTAAAAATGTGATTAACAAACCATAGCTATACATCTGAATAGAGAAATATATTTTTGTATGGCCATAGAATATTTACAAAAATCACCTGTATATTTCACCACAAAGAAACCATTAACTTTCAAAAAGTGAATATTTTTAGGGTCATCCACATTATCCTAACCAATAATTAGAAATAAAATTAAAAGCTATCCCTCAATTTTTAAAAATGGTAAGAAACACACACCCAAATTGCCCTTGTATCAAAGAAAATAACTAGTGAAAATAATGCTGTTTCATACTAAAACCTATGGGACAGAGGCAAAAATGTACTCTCGGAGGAAAATTTACAATAAAAACTAAAAGTAAAAGTAATGTTCTTGTCTTTATAAAACAAAATAAAATAAATAACATTTATTTAATAAGTAGAAGAAAGAATAAATACAAAAAACAGAGAATTAATTTATAAAATATGGCTGGGATTAATGAAAATCAAGATAAAAAGTAAAAAATATAAATCCAAAGCTAGCTTTCTGAAACAGCAAGTGACAAATAATATGAAGTTATCACAATCCTTGTTAGAAAGAAGAGTAAAAATATACAAATTCTTTATGAGAAAGGATGCAAAGCAAAGATAAGAAAAGGATTGCAATAAAATACTATACCTCTATACTATACATACTGTATTTGAAAACCTAGAGAAATTGGATTGTTTCCTATCATACTATACATCATCAGAATTGATATAATAAAGAGCGAAAAGTTAAATAGAGCAATTTCTGTAATGAAGGTTGAAAAGTAATCAACATTTTTTCACTAAAACAAGGCACCAGGACAAGTGATTTTATGCCAGGTTCTATCTAACTTTTAAAGGGCAAATAATCCCAGTGTTACTTCAAGTGTTACAGACCATATAAAATATAGACATTTCTACATTAATTTAACAAGCCATCATAACCTTAATATTAAAATATTACACCAAAAAGTAGGCCAATCTCACAATAATACAGATGCAAAAAAATCTTTAAAAAGTTCAGCAAACATACTGAATGTATGAAAATATAACAAATATGCCAATGTCTGAAATGAATAATACACCATGGCCAAGTGAGATTTATTATGGCAGATGAGAAGTGGTTCAATGGCAGGATATCTAACAACATAATTAATTACATCAGCAAATTAAAGGAAAAGCCATATGATTATATCAGTAGATGATAAAAAACAGAATAAGTAGAATCAAGCAATTATTACTAATAAAAACTCTAGGTAAACTAGGAATAAAACTGCTAAAATATTATAAAACATATACCCAAAAGTAGTGGCAAATATCATTCTAATGATGAAATGCTAAAATCATTTTAATTAAAATCAGGAACAAAATGGGGCATGATCATTATTGTTGTTATTGACATTGTTTTATTTTTTCCCCCGATGTGACTGCACATCTTCAAAACTCAAGAAATTCTACTTAAATTTAATAAAATTTGATATGGTTGTTGGTGTATTAGCCAAATATATTTTTTTAAAAAATAGACTTTTCTCTATAGTAGTCATATCAGTTAGAAATGGAAATGAGTAGACAATATTCCTTTCTCATAAGTAAAAATCTGTAAAATACTTAGGAGAAAATTAAAGAAGAAAAAATTAAGGTCTTCAAGCTGTAGCCCCAACAATATCTCAGTACACATCCCATATTCGGATCATATCAGTCACTCACCTTTTCATTTCACGTATCTGCGCCTTTGTGAATGCTGTTCCTTCTGCCTGCAAATGCTGTTCCTCCTGCCTGTAATCCTTTTCTCCCTTTTCTAACTGATAAACTATTTGTCCTTTAAAACCCAGCTCAAAGTTTATCTCCTCTTATACCTTCCCCTACCTCCTGTAGGCTAATTCCCTTTAGGTGAACTCCCCCTGGGGAGGAAGGTGAGAAAAGATTGAGAGAATGGGAAAAGTGGGAGGAGGAAAATGGAAGGAGTTGGAACAGCAGGGAGAGAGGGGGCAGAGAAAAAAAAACAAAAAAAAAAAAAGGACAAATGAGGATTAAACAAATGCCAAGTAGGAGAACCTGCAGCATCCTTGAAAAGACCTCAGATCTCAGAACCGGTATTGTTTGGAGCCCATTCATTCTTTCAGCCCTCATCCCCTTCCTGCTTCTTACTTTTCTCAGGATCTAACTCCTTTGTGACATTTGTTCAATTTCAGAGTTAGACATCAAGGATGCAATCGCCCTAGAGTCCACTCAGAGACCAAACCCATTCCTTCGACAAAGCAGTATCTTGGACCCCATGCTACAGGAGGGCATCTTCGGCAACCGGAGGCCTACCTTCATGAGAGAGTGGGGACACAAGGCATCAGACAGCAATTACGAACGCAAGCTAAAGAGCCTCATGGAGAAGGGCACCGAGCCCAAGATGGAGACTATAAAGATGCTGAAGCCCGAGGAGGTGCTGAGCTGCAGGTGAGCAGCACTGTGTGGATGGGGACGGGGCTGTACCAGGAGCCCCACCATCTCTGGTTCAGACACCTGGGCTGAGCCTGAACATCTAGGACGGTGGGTTCAGCGTGGCTGAGCTCTGTCTTTGAGTCCCAAAGGACTGCCCCAGGGCTGAAGCCACTGGATTTCCCAGCAGCCTCACCTGTCAGTGGACCATCTCCTGGATGGGCATGTCATTTCAATGTTGCCATTTCGGTGCCACACCTTTGGACACTTACACAACCCTTCCAATATTTTCATTTCTTTGGCAATAGAAATCGTGAATATTTTTCAAAAGGGAAAGAACGAGTTGGTGAGGGTCTTGTTTTCACAGGAAATTCCTGTAAGATGCTTTGCATTGTGATGTTGAGTTGCTGATGACAGTAGCCACCATCCTCAGTGGCTACCTGCTGTATGTTTGGGGCTTTAGACTCTTGAAGGAACCATGAACAAAGTGTGGAACCACTTGATGCTTACTCTTACCAAAGTGTCTCCCTGCTCACCTGGACTCCGTCTTATTTATCAGGAACTGATGGTTTTTAGTAACACCAAAGAGCCTGCCTCTGCCCCCGGCAAATCCAAGCATCCCTCTCTCTAGACCAGTGTTAATCCTTTACTGGAAAGACGTAACTGATAATGTTTAGAAACTTTAGCAGAGGGAGAAACAAAACAACAGAAAAATGTAGTCGTCCTTGTAAAGTTGATACAGCAGTAAACTCATCTGTAGTAAAAGATGGCTTCAAGTGCCTGGCAACCAAATGGACCTATCGCAAAGTCCTGCTCTGCTCACTGGCTGGCCGAGGGATGGAGGCGGGATGGCTAACTGGCTGGAAGATGAACAGGCAGTAACCCCGATGAATTGCCCTTGCTGGCTGGTCTCATGGCTGGATGACTTTGACTATGGCTTTCAGGTTGACATAGTGGTTCTAACTGACTCTAGCCAACAGACAGCCTACTTGGGCTCCGTGATGGGGAGAAAAGAGATTTGGACATGATTCCTACCCTCTAGGGAGGGGGAAAGAACATTTGGAGAGATGGCAGCTAATGAAGCCATTGGAAAAGCATCCAAGAACAGGATCAATTGTTCAGAATGAGATTGTAGCGAGTACCCACGTGCATATGCATGAGACTCTCAGAGGCTGAGATGGTCAGAGAGGAAGTGGTGAACCGTGGTTGGAGATGTCAAGGAAAAGGCAGTACAGGTGTGAGGATTGCTGAGAGGGTCTGAGCTAGCCTGGCTGTAAGAACAGCCAAGCTCTAGGAAGATCTTGAAGGAGAAGGGAAGCCATTCCCAATAGGCGGAAAACCAGGATACATCAATGTGCAGCTCCTCTTCCATCATCTGTAGCAAAGGAGCTAACAAGCAGGTGGCCTGAGTAGGGAGCCTCCCCCCTTACACTAAAGTAGGGACCAGGGTTAGGGCTGATGGTGGAATAAGGAGCTCTCTGGACATAGTGGCAGAAATACTCTCTGGATTACACAGTACAAATGGGATCGATCCCATTCTTCAGTATAAGTCAGAATTATGGGGCTTTAGTGAACATTTTAAATCAATGGCCTAGTGTTTCAATTGTTTGAATATTATTAAAAGAAAATACTCACCTCTGTTCCTACCACACCGTTCAGCAGTTATTTCCACTGTCCTGTATTTCCCCCAGCCCTGGGCACCTCTCAGATTGCATGCACACAGCAGTGTGGAAACACGTAATATTTGCATTTTTTTTTTTTTTGTCTTTTTCTGTGTCCGGCAACGGATCGCAACCCTCAGT